AGCAGATCATCCCCAGATTCGGCCTTCTGACGTCCATCCAGTCAGACAATGGCCCTGCCTTCACTTCTCAAATAACTCAACAGGTCTCAGAAAGCCTCAACACCTCCTGGAAACTTCACATTCCTTATGGGCCGCAGTTCTTGGGTAAGGTTGAGAGGGCCCACAGGATCCTCAAGGACCACCTCATGAAACTCTCAATTGAGCTTCGAATCTCTTGGCCAGATCTGCTTCCCCTTGCACTTATCCAAATCCAAGCTGCCCCGAGAGACCCCTTTTACCTACCTGACATGTGTGACTTAATTCAAATTTAATTAGTTCGAACTTAATTAGTTCGAAGGGCTAAGTCCCTTTGAACTGCTCTATGGCCATCCCTTCCTAATTAATCACAACCTTCCCATCCAACCCCCACTCCTGGCCTCATATCTATCTCACCTTGCTCCGAAACCTCCTCTGGGAACATGTGGATCGCCACCTTCCTGCCCCAGCAGAACTGGTGCCTTCTGAGGGTCCACTTCAATCAGGAGACTGCCCTCTTAAAGGAACGCCATCCTTGATCACTCTAACTACGCTGGACGGGTTGGACGTGGTGATTCTCACCACGCCTACATCAGCCAAACTATTAGACCACCCCTCTTGGTATCATGTTTTTCACCTCAAGCTTGCCATAGATCCAAAATCCTGGTCATTCCAATTTATGGGACCCACTAAGCTCAAGATCACCTGTGGGCCTCCCACTTTTTTCCCTCTTGAGACTGTTCCTACAGGTGTCCCAGACCTGAACGACACTGCCTAATCCCTACTGCTGGCGTTTCCAGGTACAGGGGACCTGGGATGGTAAGACCCGGATATTAGGAACCGGCGATTGCCAATCTTCTGGTTGCCAAACAACTGTCTCCATTCTATTAACCATCCTCAGTCTTTCTGACCTAGTGCCCCTCCTCTGCTTTATGACCAAACCAAGTAGTACTGCAAGTTCAACCAGATATTTAGGGAGGATGCCCTCACACCTCCTGCAATATGCACAAGCTTAGAGAGACCACCCAAATCCAATTCCTATATACCGATTCTGGAGGTAGCACCTACCTGAACATCAGAGATCCCTGGGACAATTGCTGAGCCACAGAAGAAGAGGGTAAGCTGTACATCTAACCCTGGGACAGCCGGAACTCTTAAGATTTTCTGCACCTACACCCTGGTGATTCCTCAGCTCCACCAAGAAATCCTCCAGAAAGAAACTGCCCTCACTTACCAGCTAGGGGCACATGAGGCAGAGAAGGGAGACCCATTTTCATGGCTGGCCCTTGTACGTCACGGGTTACAACTCCTAAACTACTCCAGGGTCAATAATATTTCTGATTGTTTTCTGTGTGATGTTCTGCCCGCCCTTAATGGCAGTCCCTCACCTTTCCCCTTAACATCTCCCAAGGGGATGATGCCTCTCTGCCTCTGATGGGGATCCCCCTTTTTGACAATCCCCTGTAGTAGCAGCAAAACCTTTCCATCTGCTATGCCTCAAAAACCACTCCCAGGTTCAACGTAACTAATTATGGTGTCCTCTCAAGTCCATGAACTCCTGGGATTTTTCTTTTGGTGTAATGAGGCATTGATGAACTCCTCTACTGCCACTCCTTTCTATACCCCCGTCACCCTATTTCCTTAACTAACACTCTTTTTTTTTCTTTTCTTGGCTTCTATTTATTTATGGTTGATTTTCTTTTTTTTATTGCGTAAAATTTTTTTATTTATATATAACAGCAGAATACATTACAATTCTTATTACACATATAGAGCATAATTTTTCATATCTCTGGTTGTATACATAGTATATTCACACCAATTCATGTCTTCATACATTTCATACATGTACTTTGGATAATAATGATCATCACATTCCACCATCATTTCTAACCCCATGCCCCCTCCCTTCCCCTCCCATCTCTCTGCCCTATCTAGAGTTCCTCTATTCCTCCTATGCTTGCTCTCCCTGTTCCACTATGAATCAGCCTCCTTAGCCTGCTTCCACCCACTGGATCTCAAGGGTCAGCCTTTCTTCCAGTGATCATAGGCATTTCCATCACCTTCTCCCTGGTCCCCTCAGGCAATGGGCTGGGGCATTAGGCTATAGCTTAACCACAACTAAAGAGCTTGAAGAAAAATTACAGCTAGCAGTGAAGCCTCTGCCAACTCCCTGGCATCTCTCCAAAGACAAAGAACATCGCTTACACGGGTCACTCTCCAAAACAGGCGGGCCCTAGACCGGCTCACCACCGACAAAGGTGGTACCTGTCTGTTCCTCAGGGAAGAATGTTGCTATTACATGGAGGAGACCGGCCTAGCAGAAGAAAACATCGATGTGCTACCTCGGCTGAGATGAAGGTGGCAGCCGAGCACCTCACTCTTCCTGGGCTGGTAGAACTCCGCCCTCGCTGCTTGGTTGGGTCTGATTGTTGGCCCCATCCTCATGATCTGTGTCTTGCTAATGATTGCTCCTTGTCGCCTCAGATTTATCCAAAACCGCATCAGCAAAGTCTCACGGGTGGCAGTCAATCAGATGCTCCTCCACCCCTACAGCCGTCTTCCCAATGAGCCCCCAACTCCTGACCTTCTCTAGACCTCCTACCAGAATAAAAGTAGCCAGATGAGACCGGGCACCCTATAACATCAAAGAGGTTGGGATGTCGGTGGGCAGCTTTCCCTTCCCATCCCACCATGGTGGCCATGGGTGGAGACTTTTCACCTGGCTGAAGAGACCTGGCCCTTAAACTCAGCCCCTAAACTCCAATCGGCCAATCGCTAATGGTAGTAACAATTTAGTTGGCCTAGGCCTTCCTACCTCCAATGACCTATGTAGGTATTATTGTCGCCTGGAGCTTTCGGGACTTCCCGGGTCCTCACCCTTTCCCAAACCAGTGCACCAAAACCCCTTTTGGTGCCTTATTCTTGTTCCGTGGTTCCTGGCCTTGTGCGCCCTTTTCTGCTTTACAAGGGGGTCCTAACTTTTCCTTCCAAGAACCAAAATAAGAAGTGAAGAGTTAGTGAAAATAAAGCTTCTTGAATATTCGGTTAAAGCAATACAAGAGTATTGACTGGGGTGCGATTTTGCTGTTAGCCACAGGGATAAATGACAGATTCCAATTCATGTGCAAATGTAAGGATTGCCAACGCGGTTGTTTTCCTTGAGAACTTTAAATAGGTTATTTCCTTCTCCGTTTTATTGAGCTAACTCTTCAGCTATTCATCCTAGGAGTATTTCCTGCATCAAGTAGCTTACGTTTTATTCATCCACATTTGAGGGCACTTCTCCCTTTTAACGAGGCTACTTCAGTTAATTACTTTTCTCTTTCTTCTGTTTCATATATGTAATAATCAAAGCCTACGAGGGTCCATTCTGCCTAAGAGGTTGGATTTTATTACTCTGTTTAAAAAGAGCCTCCTTTATTTAACTACTCTCTGGTACATTTTGAATTGTTCAATCACCAAGAGGCAGCGAATTTATTTCCCCTAGAAAGATATTTTTGGCTCTAGAAGAGAAACGAATTCGAAACACAATCATTTTCTCAGGAAAAAAGCTGTAAAGATTGATGTTAAACTTAAGATGTCATCCCCCATCTAATAATGGACTAAATTTTACTAAAAGCCTTTCTGAAGGTTTTCTATTGTATTTTTAAAAGATCAGTGTAATATTCTGAAAAGAATTAAATTTATAAATGTCAACGAGGCATTAGTATTTGTAATCATTTAAGAAAATCAAACTGTACTGTCTTATTGGGAACACGTATATTTTTCAATATAATTTGAAAAATTTTAAATCTCAGCAATTTTTTGCTTTACAGCTTGCTTACCAACCTTTTCAGAGAGTTAGTAGGCCTTTAATGAATAAATGTAGACTCAAAAGTAACTTATTTTTTATTTTTCATTATTTGGGATTGAATCCAATGTATAATACATAGCAGGCAAATACTCTACCACTAAACTACATTGCCAGCCTTTAAATTTTTTTTTTTTTTTTAATTCTGAGACAGTCTCATTAAGTTACCCAGGCTGGCCTTGAACTTATGAGCCTCCTGCCTCAGCCTCTTGAGTAGCTGGAATTACAGGTGTGTGCCACCATACCCAGCTAAAGTTATTTTTACTTTGAGAAAAAGGGAAAACAAAAACTGAAAGAATTCTCCACGCAAAGACACTTCGCCGGGAGAATTCCAATTTTATTGCAAAAAGCTGTGTGCTTATATAGAACTAAGGGGGAGATGGTAGGGCTTAGATAAATGGCAGGCAACCCATTTATTGGCAAGTTCTTTCAGATATCAGCTCCGGAGCCCAGGAATTAGTTCTCATTGGGGCTAAGGTTCCCCGCCAGCGAGATTTGAAATTGGCGCCGGCGGGAGAGTTCACACAGGTGGGAACTTTTCGCGCCACTGCAGAAAAGAAGGTAGGAAGAAGAGGTGCTTAGGCGCCATGTTGGGGTTTTTTCTCTGGGGTATGGCTGCCGTTTATACTTTTCCCAACAAAAACAACACAGGGGCTTGAAAGTTTCTTTCACACTCTGGCTTCCACCTAAGGCTAACGGGAATTTCCATTTGGCACAATGGAAGTATCGAGAGACTCTGGATTCTTTCTAGAGAAAACTCTAGAGCCTGCTTAAGATCCTCTGCACTGTGTCAAAGATCCCCTCAAGATCCGGACTTCATGATGTAGCTTTTATGACAAATCCAAAAGCTTCCATTTAGGGGAAGAAAGAAATAAAACAACACAGAGTAGAGAGTTACACAGTGCTCAGTTTCCAAAGACGGCTTCTCATTGGAAAAATGGCTTGACTTCTAAAGACTGAGAGTCTGACACCTGGCCATCCTGACCGTGGAGCACCAGAGGCTAGAGGAGCTCACTTTAGCAGCGTGGACTCCACCATGGGGACCAGACCGGAGCCTGGGGACTCAGGGGTGTGGTCTGGTCTCCCAGTGTTGGCTCACAGTGGGAACAAGGACACAGAGGACAGCACTTACCATTTCTGGACTCTCAGCAGCCAGTTTTACCATCCTCTCTGAGATCATCTTTTTCAAGCAGCTACTCAGCAGAAAAGCCTATAAAATCCAGAAATAAAAACACTCTATTAAAGAGATTTTCATTTTCTTCCTTCCCTCCCTAGTGCTACGGAGCAGATTTTGAACTCTACTTAAAATCCAATAGCATGTTTTCAAGAATTTAGATTTCTTTTTTAACTTGCAGAAATTTGCATAAAATTGTAATTAACAAACAAAACAAACAAAACTCTATAAATTCCCCCAACTATATAGATATATTTATGGTAAATATGGACAGCTAAAAATGGGCCCAATCTCATTACTAATCTTTTAAAAATTCCTTTCTTACATATTTTCTATTGTTTTGCAAGCAGATTATGTTCTATGAGCATTACATTATGTAAACTGTTTATTATCATAATCAAATAAACTGATGATATTTAATTGCATCCATCATTATTGAGAGACTTGTTATGAGGCATAAAGAGTAACCTGATTGAAAGAATATACAGTAATCTTATTACTTTTACTGAAATTTTTAAAGTGAGTTGTTTTTTTCACTCTCATTTTAAAATTTTTTATCACTCATTTGCAAGGCAGGTAGCTGTCCCCTGATCATTTGTGGTTTAATCATTCTTACTGCTGAGACACTCACTACTGAGTGAGAGTTACACAGTGCTCAGTTTCCAAAGATGGCTTCTCATTGGAAAAATGGCCTGACTTTTAAAGAAGAGAAGTCAAGCCATTTGTACTTCTTGCTACCCAAAGGTGAGGACTTCCTAGTTCCAGGATCTTCACCTTTCTTGTCTTGCTCTTATTTCTTGGTTTGCTGTTTCTCTTTTGTCCCTACTAAGGTTTGAGACTACTGAAACTCATAGCTTGGGGCTCTAGGACCTCAGCACTGGGTTGTACTCAGGGATAATCATTGTGTTGGAGAGGATGATGGAGAGGAGGGAGGGGACAGAGAGAAACCCAGGCCAGGGTGGCAGCCAAAGTGGAAAGGCCTTGGAGGACAGAACACAGATGGCAGAATTAGGCAGAGATGGGTGGCATGCAGGTAACACTGCACTGTCTCGCAGGGCTACAGAGCACAAGATTGAAATTTACTTAAGTGGAAACGGTGGAAAAGAGGAGAAATGTGACATGCAGACACAAAGTTTGACTTGCTAGCTTGGCTAAGAACTAGCCCTGTTTATCTGCACATATTCATGATGCACACAAAGCCAGAGTATGAAATAGTCAACAATTAACTCCTGAACTGGTGCAGCCAGGGGGAAATTTTAGGATGCTTCAAGATACAGACTGATTCCACTTTCCACCCCATGTGCACAAATATGTTGGCTAGGACTCTACTATAAACCAAGTAAGGTTTATTCAACACGAAGAACTGAGCTTTTGCTAGGCAGTGGTGTACACCTGTAATCCCAGCTATTCGAAGGTGAGGCAGAAGGATCGCAAGTTCAAGGCCAGCTTTGGTAACTTAGTGAGATCCTGTCTTGTAATAAAAAATGAAAAGGGCTGAGGATGCTGTTCAGTGGTATAGAGCTTGCCCAGCGTGTGCAAAGCCCTAGGTTTGATCCCCAAATAAATCCAACTGCAAATAAATAAATAAATGAAACTAAGCTTTTGTTTAAAGAAATAAAAAAAGATTTGGGCCCAAGGCTTTGTTTGTATTTACAAGGCACACAAGTCACATTTCTGGCTGTGGTAGAAGTACATCAATAAAACTCACACTCCCAGGAAATAAGATCTTACTAGGAATCCTTTAAAAGAAGGTTTATTGCACCACTCTGTAGTGGCGCAAACTCATTTGCTACTGTTTAGATTAAAAGGCCATCATAAAATTTAACTGCACTTAGCATTCTAAAGGGGTGGGTAGGGGGTTGGTTTCACTGCCAAAAATCTCTCTGTGTTTGCAAGTGACTGCAAATCTTATCTCAGCAAACCATCCTACTATTTCCCTAGGATGTTTCATATTTAAGATGAACCTAAAGGACCCATGTCTTCCACCTAGGACTGAGGTTCAGTACTCGATTTTTCAGAGTGCCTCGATGTCTGACAACTGTACTGGAAGTGGAGGGCTGGAAGAGGGCTTTGTTTACCGGAAATCAGAATGTTCTACGGAACTTAGTGGGACTCAAGTTAAACATAATGTCAATGCAAATGTTATTTTGATTCCATTTTAGAGATCCTGTATTTTTGAATCTAATTTGAAATAACGTAAGTTAGTTTAGTAGCTCAGTAAAAATTTTTCAATTGGATTTGGTGTTTTAAAAATTAGCTTTTTTGCAGGATGTGGTGGTGCCCACCTATAATCCCAGCAGCTTGGGAGGCTGAGGCAGGAGGATTGCAAGTTCAAAGCCAGCCTCAACAACTTAGCGAGGCCCTAAGCAACTCAGTGAGACCTCGTCCCTGGGTTCCAGGCCCAGTACAAAAAAAAAAAAAAAAAAAGCCTTTTATCTGCTTAGATAAGGCCAAGGAAATGAAAAAGATTCCAAAACATCTATTTTCAATATTCCTATTAAGTGAGGTAATAAAATCTATATTGTCTAAGCCAGGGATCAGAAAAAAAAAAATCTAGCTCATCACCTGTTTTTGTAAATAAATTCTTGTTAGAACCCAACCAGGCCCATTTGCTTATGTATCATCTGTGGTTGCTGTTGATAGAGCTCAGTAGTTGTAATAGAGACTGTGTGAACCACAGATCCTAAAACATTCCCATGTAGACCTTTAAAAACTAGTTTGCTCACCCTATGGCTCAACCAGTTGAGTCTCCATTACTTGGGCAACTGTTAAGATTTGGATCTTAAATGTCCCCCTAAAACGCATGTGTTAAAGGCCTGGTCCCCAGCTCATGGCACTAATAGGTGGTGGTGGAAACCTTAGGGGGTGGGTCCTAGTTAGAGAAAGTTAGATCATTGGAGGCACATCCTTAAAAAATATACTAGGATCTGGGTCACTACGTTTTCCTCTTTTTGCTCCCTGACCACCATCAGGTAAATAGCTTCGCTCCACCATGTGCTCCCCACCGTGATGTTCTGCTTCACTCCAGGCCCAAAGCAATAGGGTCAAGAGACTATGGACTACAGCCTCTGAAACCATGAGCCAGAATAAACCTTTCCTCCTTTAAGTGTATTTGTCTCAGGTATTTTGTCACAGTAAAGGAAAGCTAGCCCAATAACTAAATTCATTTCTAATTGATACGAAGGCCACAGTGATTGACAAAATTAAGCAAAGCAGAACCCAAAGGAAAGAAAAGATATTACAGTCCAAAAAGAACATGCATAGCACACTCGAGTCCCCTGCTCTTGTTGGGTTAAGGTAATATGCTTTGTCCACCTCAACCAGCAGGACAGCATTCCAGCACAAAGGGTTATCATGCTCTGCCCTGAGAACTCACCTGTTTGGTGTAAATAACAAACCACTGCCAGCGACTCTCCTCGCTGTACTGAAATCTGAGCTCTAAGTTCTGATTGAGAATTCGCTGGGGTCCATCCGTATCCAGCAGAGTTCCCTACAGACAGAGGAAAAGATAGTATTTGATTTTCAATAGAAATCTAAGTGCCTATTTTTGTGCTAGGCAAAATATCAAAATAAGATTGCCCCTACATCCAAGAAACTACTAGTAATTGAGAAGCCAGGAAGGTAAATCACCACAGCATGATATGGTAAATGTGATCAGGGAAGTAAACACAGCTCTAGGGAAGGAAACAGAATGGCATCTGGCTCAGGCTAGGAGGGCAAAGAAAGGCCCCCGGAGGGAGGGGCATCTGAGCAAAAGTAGGAGCTGTCCTAGTTTGTTGGGTGTTTTTTTTTTTGGGGGGGGGGACTTTTTTTTTTAAGGAGAGGAAGATGAGGGGTGAATCCTGTTAGAAGAAATACAAATGCAAATCCCATGAGGCCTGAGGGAACCTGGCATGTTGGAGATGCTGTGAGAGATGGTGTGTGGCTGTAGCACAGGCTCCAAACTCACAGTGGGCTGGGAGAGTTGGGGTAGGGCCAGATCCTAAAATCCTGGCAGGGAACATCTACAAATTTTGACTACAGAGCAAAATTTGACTCTGACTCTTTCTTCTAGTAATAGTGTCTCATATTTCTTTGGGAAAAGCATCCCCCTTCCACAGGAGGCTATCTGGTGGGATTTTCAGAGAGTGACATATGACCCAAGTTTAGACCAATTGGACGAATGTTCTCTGTGACCCTATTTGATTCAAAGTCAAGAGATCCAAGCAGCAGATCCTGGTTAAACTCCTGTTTCCTAGAAAGCTACTTTGGTTCTTGACTCTCTTGAGCCTCAGCTTCAGTGTTTTGAATCTGTAGGTTGCTCCACATCCTTCTAAGCCATGCGTCCCCTCCTTGGCTGGAGTCTGATGTGTTGGTTTCTGTTGCTTGCCACTAACGAACCATAATTCTTACATGCTTCAGACGCTAAGTTAAGGATTTTAGACTTTATCCTGAGGCAACACACATCAAAGGATTTTAAAAGCTGGATAATTCCACTGGATTAATATTGTAGACATATTGGTCTGACAGCACCAGTGTAAAAACATAAATTGAGCAACAGCTCTTTGCAGACAATGAACAATACATAATTCCAGAGATAAGGAAAACAAACGAGGGGAGCTCCAGGATTTCCCCAGCTTACTCACTAGAGGAGTTTCCAAGATGTAGCAAGGAAAGGGACCCCAAAGGGCTCGCTGAGTTGAGAAGAAAGAGAAAATTTTGAAGCAGTTGAGGTAAGAATTCACAGGGCAGAATACCCTGAACTCCAGAGAGCTCCTCTCAACTCTTTGCCTGAGTAGTGATGTGAGCAACCCCACCAAAAAGCAGCAGACTGAACAATTCCAGGAGCTGGCAAAGAAGGCTGGGAGGAGTTTGTACTCCCATCAATCCAAGTACAGAGGCCATACTAGGCAAGATGTTGGGCAGAGTTCTAGGGAGGTAGCTAATGAGTAAAGGTCTTAAATTAGCCCTAGACTAAAGATGATCCTGGACTTCCATTAAGTGTAACAGCAAGCCTCCAAAGAGTCAAAACAGTCCCAATGTTCTGCATTACAAAGCAAAGTCTAATATTTTTAAAGGAATACAAGAAAACCCCGCATTCAACAATGTGAAATTCACGTTTAGCATACCACAAAAATACTTGGCATGCAAAACAGGTGAGAAACAAATCACTAAAAACAAACTCAGAAGTGACAGAGATGATGGAGTTAGTAGGCAAAAATATTAAAAGTTACATCCAGGTGTCCCTTAACAATGGGACTATGTTCTGAAAAATGTTCTTGTTAGGCATTTCTGTCATTGTGTAAAGATCATAGAATGTACTCACACCAGCCTAGATGGGACAGGTCAATCACTTGATGTGACAGTTATGTCGGGGAGAGAGGGATTTAACCCCAGGCCTTGGGCATGCTAAGCACATGCTCTACCCACATCGATCATTCAATATGGCCTCTTGATGCAATCAAGGAATGTAGGTGCAACGTGGCATGGTGTTATACAGTAAACTTTTTTTGGTAAGCAGAAGGACTACACTCTAATGATAAAAAGTATAAGAATTAAATAAGCCAGAAACATAGTCTTTTATTATTACTATCAAGTATTAAGTGTTGTACATAATTTTGCATGTTACATTTTCTATATAACCGGCAGTACAGTTGGTTACACCGATACCACCAGAGACACATGAGTAATGCATCATGCTATGGCATTATGGCAGCTACAACATCACTAAGCAAAGGGAATTTTTCAGCTCCATTATCATCTTATAGGACACCACTGTATATGCAATCTGTCATTGTTCAAAACATCATTATGCAATGCATGACTATATTTAAAATATGCTCCACACACTGAAGAATTTATAGAAAAACATAAGCATGTTGAGGAGGAAAATGGAAGATTTTTTTTTTTAAAGATCCAAATGGAACTTTTGGAGATGAAAAGCATAATATTAGAAGTAAAAACATACTGGACAGGATAAATAGCACATTATGACACTAGAGGAGAAAAGATCAGTGACTTGGAGACATAGCAATAGTGAGTACCCAAGATGAAGCACAAAGACAAGAAAGACTGAAATAAAGAAAACCACAATGAAATATCACTTTGGACCCATTATGCTGGCTATAATTTTAAACATCAGATAATGATTAGTATTGACAAGAATGTGAGGGAATTAGAACCCTCAACCACTGCTAGTGGAAACTAAAATGGTACAACCAATGTGGCCCACAGGCTGGCACTTCCTCAAAGTCAAATGCAGAATTACCATTTGATCCAATAATTCCACTCCTAGGTTTATATTCAAGAGAAATGAAAACACATGCCCACCAAAGCTTGCACACAAATGTGCATAGCGGCTTAATTCATTACAGCCAAAAGACAGAAATGGATGATGACTAGATGAATAAAACATGGTATAGCCATTCATACAGTGAAATATTATTTGTTCATAAAAAAATAATAGGGTACTCATACATGTTATAATAAATATGAACCTTGGAAACATTATGCTTAGTAAAAAACTAGTCACAGGGTGGTGACAGCTAAAGGGTATGTGGCTTCTTTTTGACACAATAAAAGTGTTCTGAAATGACCATGGTGATAGCTGCACAACTCTGAATAAGCTGAATACCATCAAATTGTATATTTCATGTGGATGAATTGTATGGTACATAAATTACATCTTAGTAAGACTGTTAAAAGGAAAGAAAACGATTGTGTTGTTCTGGTGGAGGAACAGACACATAGACCAGCAGAACAGAACAGAAAACTCAGAAGGAGGCCCACACAAATGGGCCTTAGTAATTTTTGACAAGGATGCAAAAGCCATTGCATTTAAGACAGACGGGCTTGTCAACAAGCAGACGGGGAGCAATGCGACTTCCAGAGGCAAGAAAGGGAGACATCTGTCTCATACCCTATACCAAAACCCACTCAAAATTACTTATATAGAGACTTCTATGTAAAACCTATAACTATAAAACTTTAAGAAAAGAAACAACAGAAAAAAAGCTTCATGATCTAGGGTTTGTCAAAGAGGTCTTAGGCTTGAAACCAAAAGCATAATCCATAAAAGAAAAAAAATGGATGCATTGCATTTCACCAATATGAAAAACTTTTGCTCTACCAAAGACCCTGCTATGTAGTTTTTCAAAACTACAGAAAGAGAGAGAGAAAAACATTTGCAAATCAGATGGCCAGCAAAGGACTAGCATCTAGAATCCATAAGGCATTCTCAAGCCTCGACAGTTAAAAAAGCAGATAATCTTTGACTGGCATGGAGCCCAGTGGTAGAGCACTTGTCTAGCATGGGTGAGGCCCTGGGTTCCATCTCCAATATCACAAAAGAACAAAAGAAAGAAAGAAAAGAGAATTAAACAACCCAATTAGAAAATGGACAAAAGAAATGTTAAGAAGCATTTTACTGAAGAAGATAAACAGATGGCAGATAAGCCTGCAAGACGCTCAATATCATTAGCTATGAGCAAAATGCAAATTAAAACCACAATTAGATACCATTACTGTTTTAGTCAGCTTTCTCACTGTAACTAAAAGACCCAACCAGAACCATTGTAGAGGAGGAAGTTTATTTAAGGGCTCTTGATTTCAGAGGTCTCAGTCCATATATAGCCAGCTCCATCATAGAGGAAGAGTATGGCAGAGGGAAGCAGCTCACATGATGATCAGAGAGCACAGAAAGACATTCCACTCTCCAGATACAAAATATATACCCCAAAGTCATGCCCCCAATGAACCACTTCCTCCAGCCACCCCCTACTACTTCAGTTTCCACTCAGTTAATCCTGATTAGGGGATTAATTCACTGATTGGGTTAAGACTTTCACAACCCAATCGTTTCTCCTCTGAACCTCCTTGCATTGTCTCACTCATGAGGTTTCAGGGGACACCACATCTAAACCATAATAATTACATACCTACCAGAATGACTAAAATAAAAAAATAGTGATACCACCAAATATTGGTGAAGATGCAAAGAAACTGGATCACTCCTATTGCTGATGGGAATGTAAGATGATACAGCCACCCTCGAAAACAGCCTGGCAGTTTCTAAAACCTAAACATGTAATTAACAATCAACCCAGCCATTGCACTCCTGGGCATTTATTCCAGAGAAATGAAGACTTGAGCTCAGATAAAAGCTGATTCATGAATATTACAACAGCTATATTCATAAGAACTAAAAACTAAAGACAACCCTAAGTCCTTCAAAGGGATAGTTAACTGCACTTTAGTACATCCATAGCATGGACTATTGTTCAGTAATACAAAGAATATATTGTACCATTGATAAATACAACAACTTGGATGGATTTCCAAAGAATTATGCTGTGAAAAAAATAAAAAATAAAAGCCAATCCCTAAAGGAACTGACAGGTATAGAACATTCCACCCAACAGCCAAGGACACTCTAAGTGCATAAGGAACATTTACCAAGATAGATCCAATTGGGGGCTGCAAAACAAGTTTCCCAAAACTTTAAAAGAACTGAAATCATATAATGTATTTTCTTTGACTCCAAAGGAGAAAAAGTGAGGAAAGGAGAAGGGTTAGGATGCTATGCCATCCATCCATGTGGGAAATATGGAGACCAAGCTGTGAGGGTGGAGAGAAGGGACATCTTTGAGGGATGGCAAGGGAGCAGGCTGGGTAGGTCTCCATCGGCGACATCCCTGGTTGGCAGCCAGCGAGTGGGTGGTGGTGGAGGCCCCGTTTGTCATCACATAGAACACAGGAGGCCCAAGAGCAGCACAGGCTTGAGAGCAAAGGACAAGTCTGCTCCTGGGGGAAAGGCTGAGTCTATGATGTCATTGAGACATCTGGAGAAGGTGGAAGGGGGCCACGGGAAACACCAGGGATCTGGTAGTTGATTTCTGCAGAGAAAAAAATACTAGAAATGGAACCCCAGAAAAAAATGAGCCTTTCAGCAAGGCTCAGAGGAAGTGACCCACAACAAGAGCAGAAGAAAAGGAGATTGTGAAAAGGAAGAAATGGTTGACGTGTCAAGAGCCAAAGAGAGGTCAAGGATGAGGAAGCTAAAAAGTCCCCACAGGTCCCGTGGGTTTAACAGCTGGATATTATAATTGCTCTAGAAGCTCCTCTTCTGCCAATTTGTCTTCTGCATAAAGATGATAATCCCAGTTAGCTCACTGAGTACTGGTTAGAATTTAATTGAGTAACAGATGTGGCCGAGGCCAGCACAGGACCTGGTACCAAGTAGGCACTCCATACATCTGATCAGAATGGTTTGCTGACAAGGAGATAGCAATGTAAGCAGGCTGCCATGGCTCCTTCCCAAGGGCTCTGCTGGTCAGCATCCAGTTTCTTGCCCGCACTGAGCACATAGAAAGTGCTCATCACTTCTGTCACTCTTGCCACCTTTCCAGCACTAGGGAAGGCTGTTGAAGATCGGTGCCTCTACTGCCTCAATTGCACCAGATGGGGAACCTATTCCCACTTTAGACAGGCTTTACTTCTAAGTGATGTTTAAAGTGGTTTAGATGCCTCTGCACGAGGTAACAGAATCCAATGGCCAGTCCATCTCCCTAGCACCAACTCTGTCATCCAAGAGCAACAGGATCGTAAAATCATGAGCAAAGCCAGGTGCCAAGATACTCACAAGGAAAGTGACCTGCCAGCACTTCACCCTGCTCATCTGGAAGGTGACATCCTGGGTCTGGTTGTCAGGCAGTGTTATGCAGCAGCTGATCTCATGATTACCCACAGAAAGAAGAGCCCTGCAGCCTGGTTCCGGGTAGTCACAGGTGCATGGGTCCAGTTGCATGCATCCGTAGTGTCGCACCTCCTGGGACAGCTCCAAAAACTGCGGAGGCACGTGGTGAGGGGGAGGAGAAAGCAAAAGACCACTTGAAGCAGGTGAAAACCTCATGTGAAAACCTCCTGCCATTCTAACAGCAGGCTGGATTTGCTCACAGCAAAAACACCTTTTCTTCTGGACCACATCTTGCCCTCTGTGCTAACAATAAGCCCTGGGGAAATTCAAGGTGTGTCCTGCAGGGCAGGGTTCATTCCTGCCTCATTCACCACTGTGTCCCCAATGTATCTTTTAAAAACTAACCTGAGCAGGGCGTGGTGGCACACACCTATAATTCCAGCAGCTTGGGAGGCTGAGGCAGGAGAATCTCAAGTTCAAAGCCAGCCTTGGCAATTTAGCAAGGCCTTAAGTAACTCAGTGAGACCCTGACTCTTAAATTAAACACAAAAAGGATTGGGGATGTGGCTTAGTGGTTGAGCACCCTTGGATTCACTCCCCAGTACAAAAAGAAATAAAATAAAATAAAAATTAACCTGAGATCTAAATAGGAGGAAAAGTCGTCGTTTTTCAGGCTACTTTATACGACCGTGGAGAAAGAGACTTTGGAAATGGCAAGTGAGAGCACAAGTAGGTCTCTTTCCTAAGCAAGTTGTAGATAGCTTCCAAATGCCAAGAGGTCACTTTTATGTTAATTGTAAAGTTTAGCTTTTCCATCTGCTTCTGAACTGACCTCAGAACAGAGGTTCACACCTGCAGTCCTGGCATCCTGTCCCATTAACATCTATCCAAGATTTTTAGTTTTTTAACCACGTATTATTATTAATGAATGTGTTAAAATGAGCTGACATGGGTTTGGTGACCTCCACCTTGTTTTTACAGCTGTCACCCTGGTCCTGGTCTAATGGAGTGTGAGATGTGTGTACAGAGAACAGAATTCTCAGTTTAGCACATGGAAAATTAGAAAGACTACCAACCCATGACAATCTTGCTCTTTCCCCATCCTTTTCTGAAGCAAGGGAACTTACATCTCCCTTTCAAGGACCACGTGTGGCATAAAGTAAAACATGGCAAGATGTAAGCAAAGAGGGTCAACAGACTCTCGATCTCACAATGATAGCACGAGCATTCGAAGCTACTGTCTCTTCCAGTCATGGGGACCAGCTTCAGCCCATACTTCACCTTAAGAGATGCATTCAGCTGCCTAGCCTCTGGTTGAGTCAGTGGAAAATATCAGAAACTACAGAGTGGGAGGACATGGTACTGAGTCTTTTTGTCACAGAAAAAAAGAGAGAGTTTAATGTGGTTTAGAGAGGCATCTGGATCACATTAAATATCACTTAGTAGTAAAACCCATCTAAAGGTTTCAGGCATTTGCTAAGATACTTTCTTACTTGAAATATGGCATAAGTCTTATCTGGAAACACTTTTTAAAATTGCAATAAACTCTTGGCTGCAATGAATTTGAAGAGATGAAAGTGTTTAATTAAAACTAAGGTTCCATTTTGGAAGGACATTGATGATAAATAAGTAACTTACTCAACATACTTATTGGCATTTGTCATTCATAAAGGAATGCTGTGATATCACCAACTATATGAAAACCTGAAGACAGAAACCTGGAAGGATTATCTACTTGAAAAACTAGTTCTTTTAAGAAGAATATACCTGAAAAAAGACAATTTCATATATATAGCCGCAGAAGATATGTTTGTCTATTTCCATTTATAGCAGGGGGCTGGCAAAGTCTTCTGTAAAGAGCCATATAGTAAATACTTCTGGCTTTAGGGACATATGGTCTGTGAAGCATCTTATCACCTCTGCCACTGCAGCCTTAGATAATAATATATAAATGAATAAGCAAGACTGGTGCCAATAAAAGTTCATATACAAAAGTGGCCCATGAGCCATAGTTAGCTTATCCCTGATTCTGATCAAATGACTCTTTAAGTTAATTTCACTCATTTCCAATTCCAAGTTTTTCTGTACATGTATATAAAGCAAAGCAAAAACTGTTAATATGTTTGTTCCATTAGCAGTAGAACTCTACAAACACTTAAATAATGCTGGTTATGGATTAGCACACTTAGAGGCTGTGAGAGAAAACAAGTTCATTTCATTAATGACTCAATTTTTAAAATCTAATTTGTGTATTCAAAGTTTGTAAAAGACAATCACAAATCATATGGCATTTTTAGGTTTATCATAGAAGATAAAATTTGTTTTGCAGAAAAAAATACAAATATACATTCCACTAGAGCACAGATACATAGTAAAAACAGTATTTTTGCTAAAATAAGAAGTTAGAGTTGATATGCACTGCTTTGGTGTACACAACTTGTAACTGTGAACAAAGGAGCAGTACTACCCATCAAAATAGAAGCTGTACTGTCAAAATGTACAGATACACAAGAAACTGAACTCCCAGGGTTTTTTGTCTTAGCAAAGTGGAAGTGGAATACCAAGGGGGAAATGCTAAACTGGCAGTAAGTGCCTTTCCTTTTGTTTACTTTTTTCTTTTTTTGCAATCCATCCATAAATATCTCCAAGCATCTGAGCCTTTGTGGAATTACTTTCTTTGTGAACCTAAATACAAATGAGTCCTCTACATTTTGGTGGCATTTTGTTCAAACCAGTGCTGCAGTTGCAAACACAGGCAAAGTCTAAAGAATGAGGAAAAACAGCACAGTGAGGTAGAGGCCATGCCTTCTGCTAAAGCCTGCCTTGGGCTCACAGATTGTGCTCAGGTCTGGAGGTATGTGAGTGGGTACTGCTGTCATATAAGCTTAAAAATAGATGTTCCCATGGAATAACAGAACACACAGCTAAAGGTGGAGATGTTGGCGGCAGTATTCTCAGAGCTTCACCAAGACCTGTTCCAGGTGCTGGGAACACAGAGAGTAGGTATAAATTACATACAGTCCTGGACCTCATGATGCTCACTGCCAAAGTGATTTATAGCGGCAAAAGCTAGAAACAACCTGACTCTAATAATAGAAATAGGCTAGCTAAATGATAACCCAACCACAAAACAAGGAATACTCTGGAGTCGTTAAAAACTATGTGGAGGATCTACATTAATTAACTTGGCAAAGAACTCATAACATACTGTCTGTATTTTTTAGAATCTTTAAGCAATAAGCTTTTATTAATTCTATAATCAGAAAAATCAATAAAAGTATTCTCTTTTTTTTAAGAGAGTCTTACTTTTAGTGTTTAATGGGTTTATAAATTATAGAAACAGCTCAATTCTAATATGAACTCCCTTCTAAGGATGTCTCTTGGTACAGTTTTTGACTCACCTTTATTTGATTGTTTTCTTTCTGGAAAGCCTCTAATTCCTGCCTCTGGGACTGTGTGGGTTTGGCACATTCTTCTTCAATGTCCTGTACTGCCTTCAAACAACAGAAATTGACAATTTACCGACTTTAGCAGAAATGAATTAATCTGACAAAAACATACTCATGTTTGAAGGGCTATAAAAATAGTCCCAAGCAGATCTATGTAGATACTTAACATGACAGGAAGGTTGCTTTTTAAATTAGTGGGTAGAAAAAGATTGTACAACAGTTTGGGGACAATAGGCAACACTTGGTTAAAAAAAAATAACCCCCCACAAGAACCAGAAAAATAAAGGTGAGTATGTTTATCTGATCTTAAGGTAAGAACCATTTTTTTTAAAGGTATACAGACAAAATGTCATAATGAAGGAGTAATCATATATAATTACACGAAAACATGAATAGCTGCCATAAACCCACCAAGAACAAAACAGAGAAGCAAATGGTAAACCAGGGGAAATGACTGCATTGTATATGGCATGGAGTTAACATTGATGCAAAGCAACAGGAAAAATGTAAATATCCCCAACATGAAGACGAACAAAAGATATATATTGGCAATTGATCAAAAGGAATTCCAGATAACAAATATATATTCAGCCTTTCTAGCAATCAAAGAAATTTTTGCCTCTTAATTTGGCAAAGACTAAAGCACACAATCAGAATTGACTAGGGTTTGGGGAAACTGGACATTCCATATAGGACTAATGGGCTTAATTGGTAACTTTATAGAGCTAATTTGGTGATACAAATAGAAAACTACCTGTAAAAATCATAAGCACAGATGTGGGGAAAATATTTATAAAATTATTGCTGCTACTGGTTGTAATAATTTAAAAAATTTTTAATTTATTAAAATTGGCAAACCCACACAGTGTCTCCTCTGTACCCCTGGGTTCCACATCCATTGATTACACCAAAATGGATAGAATACATTTTGGGGAAAACTGCACCTATGCTGAATGTTTAGACTTCATTATTTTTCTTCATTTTTTTTTAGTATTTTTCCTTCATTATTATTCCTTAAACAACACAATCTAACTATGATTTACATAGCATTTTAACTGCATTAGGTATTATAATAATGCAATCTAGAAATTTAAGCATTTGAGAGGATGTGAATAGATTATATGGACATACTACAATGTTTTATTGAAGAGACTTAAGCATTCTTAAATTTGGTATCTGTAGTGGGTCCTGGAATCAATTTCCTGTGGATACTGAGGGACATTTGTATAGTGCTCACTATGTATGAGGAAAGGTTCTAATTGCTCTAAAACAAAAGTAATCCTTAGGGCCACTGTGCGAGGTAGGTGCTATTATGAAATGCTCCAAAATAAGTAATTGACCATACATTTAAGCAAATAATAGGTTATTCCCTCATTCAAAATTATATAGAACATTTTTAAAGTGGGGACAATCAGTAAGGTATTGATACATGAAAAGAAGAATATCAGGTTACAAAATAAGAGTATAATAATAGACCCTAATTTTTTGTAAAACAACAAAATAAATATTTATCAAAACAATCTCATATGAGCATTACAAATCAAGGAAGTGGAAGTGCATGTAAACTAAATATGTATGAAATAAACACATCAAAAAAAGTTAAGAGTTGGGAGTACATAGCTCATTTAAGGTCTTGGGTAACATTAAATTTTGTTGTACGGTTTTCTAGATTTGTAAAACTTTTAAAAGAAGAAAAAAATTTGTTTGCATGTTAAAAAAATTAAAATTGAATGTATCACTGGGCTCCGTCTGCTCAGTTTTGTGTCACCACCATCCACAAATGTTTTCAAACTCCAGAGCCCTAGTGGGTTTCTCAGTTGTCTCCTAATCCAAGGTGGGTCCCAGCAGAACAACTCCGGGATCAAAGGCAGAAGGTGCCTAGAGGACATCCGCCCCCTGAAGAAGCTCATCAGGATTGCTCTGAAGCCAGGTGAAAAGTGGAAGCCACCAGGCTGGGGTTGTGGCTCAGTGGCACAGCGCTCGCCTAGCATATGTGAGGCATTGGGTTCGATCCTCAGCACCACATAACATAAAAAATAAAGATATTGTATCCACCTATAAGTAAAAAATAAATTTTGTTTAAAAATGGAAGCCATAAAGTCCATTGACTGCAACCCGCCTGTGTGCTGCAGGGACCTTCTGGAACACCTCCCAGCTCCCTTCCCCTTGTGCCAGCCTGGCCCCGGAAGCTCTGGTGTGAGGTGCACCTCACACCAGAGCTTTTCCTGATTGAAAAGCATTTACCATTGTTCCTCAGTCTGTCAACCCTTCAAGGGAAGAACTGGTGTCTTTCACCTCAGTGCATCTGCCCAATGTCCCGTATACAGCAAACATTCAACAGTTGTTCACCACTTACCAGGACTTCCTTTATACCTTAGCCTGGACATAAGTCTGTGTGTTTTGTCCTGGCTGGGTATGCCTTATCTCCAAAAGGAAAATGAAAAGCTGAATACATTTTTTTGCACTTCTGTTTATATTGGGAAAGATATATAAGATTTAAAGAGAAGAAAAATAACATTTATTGAGAGTCTACTTTAGCTAGGTTTTCTCATTGACTTTTTCCTAACTATTCTAAGGGACAGGAATGATTATCACCATTTTATAGATGGATAAAATGAGGTCCAGAGAGGGTATGATGTTCAAGATGACCCAGTCAATAAGTGGCAGGAGTTAGGTTAAACCCTGGTCTGACCACAACACCAAAGCCTTGTACTGTTACCCAAGATGCTGAATTCTTACAGGATAGGCAGCTCCCTCCCCAAGGCTTTCTCTTTGTCACTAAATGTCCTCAAAAGTGAACCTGCATACTGTACCAGATTGGAGCCAGAACGATCATTTTCATGAATTCGATATAATGTTAGAGCCCCTAAGGACAGTGAACACAGGGTACAATGTCCGAGAGGAGGCATAACTAATTAATGTAGATAAACAGCAACCACGGCAGGAAGTATTGGCTGAAGACTTATTCGGCATCGGGATTACCCAGGATTCTCAAGCACTGAGATTTAAGTGTCCTTTAATGTAAGCAGGACAACTGGTTTTGTTTGGCTATCTTTGAAAAGAGATGGCCCTGATGATGGGTTCACAAGTCATCACTCAAATGCATCATATACAGGACCTCCCTCCCAGATGGTCAGACCATAGGGGAGTCAAGTCCAGACAAACGTCTCTACTCAGTCACATGGGGCCTGAACACTGGCTAATGGGGACTCATGCAGAACCTAATTTTAACAATCAAGCAAAATCACAAAAGTCGTGGTTTTCAAGAGCTTCAATCATACACGCTCTGCAGAAGGTACAATGGTGAGAAATGGAGAGCACATGTGTGTCCAAGGAAGGCCTCGGCTACTCCACTCTGGCTGGTTGAAATCAGTACAGGAAGACCCGAAACATGTGTGCCTGCATGTGACCTCACAGTGCTGGGGGACTAGGGATCAGCCCATACCCCCCTCATCAAGTCACTGCACTGACAAGAGGCTAGCCTCTTTCAGTGAAGGGGCACACCTTCTTCTAACTTCTTTTACTGTTTCTTTTGTCTTTTCTTTTTTGGGTGCTGGGGATCAAACCCAGAGCCTCACGCATGCTAGGCAAGAATGCTGGCCTGGTGTCTGGGAACACCTGGGAACAGCCAGTAAAGCAGTAGAGAATTGAGGAGGGGGTCCCCAGGGCACATCAAAGGCAGCATCTGCTACCATTTCACTGCCTGGCAGAATCTTTGCCACACAAGACAGGGGAAGGGAAAGGAGACTGAACTCTAAATTTACTTTTTGTGGGGTTAGGGGGTGAAGGTAAGCAGGACCAACTATATAATTTTCAGGGCTTACCGAGCACAAAAGAAAATGCAGAGGCCCTTGTTCAAAAGTAATTAAGAATTTTAAAATGGCAACAGCAGAGCATCAGACAAGCCCAGGAGGGCCTTCTGAGCACTGGGCCCAGTGTGACTGCACGGGCTATGTGCCCATAAAGCCAGCCCTAGAGCAGGTGTGCCCTCTCCTGGATCAGGGAACAGCAGGTTATGTAGAGTGAGATTTAGGGACCATGTGTGGCCTTACATTTGCAGGGTCTTCCTTTCTAGTCTCATCTAATTAGCCTAGTGACAGGATCACCCACAAATTCACAGAGTGACTATTAAAATAAAGATTGAAATATTATTTCCCTCTTCTAAACTGCTCTAGTTTTTAAATTTTAAAATTATGATAAATTTATGCAGCATAACATTTATCACCATTCATAAGTGTTCAGTGATACTGTATACACTCACAATATCGTATAACCGTCACCACTATCTATACTGAAATTATTTTCACTATCCTCCAACAAAAAATTCTGTACCTGTTAAATAGTAACTTTCCCTTCTCTTTTCCCCCAGTCCCTAGTCACCTCTACTGTCGTTGAATCTGTCTATTCTAAGTATGGAGATACAATCCTTAACTATTATATATTTTTTAATGATTCTAAACCAAGTGGCCTAAATACACAGGATTCTTACCTGCATGTACAGCAGATCTATGGCTGCTCTGCAGTCCATCAGCACAGAGTCAAGGGCTGGATCCATGTACCTACGTCATTTAGGAACATTACATGAATTTATAAAACAGGCTAATGGCACACGTGGGAGGAAGTGCATTTGAAAGCAGTGGCCCCTTCTATCACAAAGCCACCCCCTCTGCCCCCTGCACTTGCCTAGCCTTCACTGTCTCCCTCCAGCGCTTCTGTTTCCATTTTTTTTTTATAATGCTATGAGTCTTACCCGATGAGCTCTGAGAGTAAAAATGCAAAAAATAAAATAGTAAAGCTTTGGGGACATGGTCTGCATTCCTGATCCCACTCAGCCTCACTCTTGGCCACCCAGTCCTGGATTCCCTTTCCCATCCCTCAACACCTGGCATGATCACCTGCCCCACATCTACCACCATTGCCTACCTGGCCACCTTCACTACTCACTTGAGCTGCTTAGGGAAGCTCCTTCCCAGGCTTTCTGCCTCACTCTCACGCTCATAGTCCAACACAAGTGGCTGTTGTCTGACAGAGTTGTAGGAGTTGGGTCATTTATTCTGTTTACTTCTGAGGTCCTTTATGGGGCCACCCCTGCCCTCACTTCCATTCCATCTCTTATCATTCCCATACCCAACTCTACATTCCAAGTGAGCTTCTCTGCTCTCCTCCTACCCTGACAGAGCATGCCTCAGGGCCCTCCTGCCCTGACTTATCTCCCTTTTTCTGCAAGCCTCCCCAAGGCTGTGTTAGCAACCCATCTTCTGTGCTTTGTCAGCATGGAGCTTATCCTGACCGCTGCTCTGATCAAGTTTTCTTGACAAGAGATGTCAAGACCCCAGCCTCTGTTGAGAAGTGCCCTCCTGGGTCTTGGCAGAATGAGGGGCTCCATTTCTGTCTATCAGAACCAGAATCACCAGAACAGACTGAAATTCAGGACTGTGTATGCACAGCAGCATGCTAAGAATGGGCGGAAACAGGAAGGGCGTGCCCTAGCTGATCTACTGATCTACAGTCAACCGGAAGGCAGAGGCAAGCAGTCACTGTTCTGGGAAGCACAGTGTGACTAGACTGGCAGGGCTGACAGACTCAGAAAGGGATGAAAATGGAGATTGAGGGTCAACTTCATTTGGGGGGTGGGGAGAAGGAACTGAAGCATTCATATGGTAAATAGCTAAATACAAATGACATTGCATTTAGCTATTTACCATATCCCAGAGGATCCTGTGGAGCACAGAATAGTGTCTGTCACACCAGAAGGATGGAGGTCCCAAACCCATCCTAAGATGGGACTCTGGAGGCAGTGGGGGATACAGAGCAGGCACCATCTGGTCTGGAAGAAACTATATCATCACTGGAAGAAGAGGCCTCACCTACTGGAATCACACAGCTCTTAGAACTGGCCTCCCTACCTCCACCTGATAAAACCTCCACTGGAAAGAGGGGGAGGCATTGTGGGAGGCTCTGCCAGGCTCTCCCCCCAGGAGATCTCTCTGCTGAGGATCTGGAGACCTGATCCTCAGTGCCAGGAACAGAAGCAAACTCCCTTCTTTCCACAGTCACAGATGATCTGCTTAGCCCTGCTGCTGGCTTGTGATTGACAGGTATTTTATCTTGCATTTACCATCTAGGATTTATTTTTTAAATGAAGACATAGGCAAAGCCTGATTTCTAATTCAAGCCTCAAGGTTAGGGACAGAATCCTCCTCTCTCCTGTGATCTCAAGTGAAAAAGCTAAGCCCCAAAGACTTTTATGGTTGCTGTGATCATCAATATCATCAATATTATGATAAAAAAAAATGACCAAAACTTTTGGAGCATATATAATCACTCTACAAGAATCCTAAGAGGGCCAGGTGTGTGAGTTCAAAGCCAGCCTCATCAACTTAGCTAGGTGCTAAGCAATTCAGTGAGACCCTGTCTCTAAATAAACTATAAAATAGGGATGGGGGATGGGAGGATTAAATGAACTCTAGATAGGGCAAAGGGAAAAAGGGGAGGGAGGAGAAGGGAGGGGGCACAGGGGTAGGAAAAACAGTGGAATGCGATGGTCATCATTACCCTAAGTACATGTATGAAGACACGAAGGATGTGACTCTACCTTTTGTACAATCAGAGATATGAAAAACTGTACTCTATATGTGTAATATGAATTGTAATACAACCTGTTGTCATATACAACAAATTAAAATTTTAAAAAAAGAGATGGGGATGTGGCTCAGAGGTTGAGTGCCTCTGAGTTCATACCCAGTACCAAAAAAAAAAAAAAAAAAAAAGAAAAAGAAAAGAAAGAAAGAAAAAAATCCTAGGAAGAAAACACTATTATTCCCATATTACAGATAAAGAAACTGAGGATTAGGGGCTTAAATAACTTGGCTAAGGTTATGAAGCTGAGAGCTGGGACTTAGGTACAGGAACTCTGATTCAGGAACCACCATACTCAGCCACTTTGTAGTAAGCAGCTTACAAACAGTTATTCTCTAACTCTTAGATGGACCCAAGTCCTTACCTACTTCTCAGGGTTTTTTGATGATTTCTCAGAATACTTCTGAGCAATTAACTTCTATCCTTGCTGGGGATATCCTAAAATTCAAAACCATAAACTGGAGCTCTAGTAAGGCATCACAAGGTCAAGTTAACTACTATCCCCAGATTTTGAAATGCCTTTCTTTAAGGCTTCTGCACTCAGGTTGCAGAATAACGGGGCTGGGAGAAAGCAAACTTAAGTAGCAATGGTAATAAACTCTAGAGGCTACAGATGATAGGATTGCAGGTGTGTAAATGTCCTGTTTCTCATTGTCACTGTCTGTCTGATGTTCTCCAGAGGACCCCTGTTTCTGGGGAACGATAGGATTTTCTGCAGAGGAACACTTGCATTCTATTGATCTAGAAACATGAGTAGCCCTGGTACATACAACCCTGGCATAGACTTTATGAATGCAAGCTGAATTCTTAAGAGTTCAAATTCACTGCAAATTGGTTGAGTTCACCTTTTGCCTCCAGGGAATACTACAGTGCAATAACAGATGAATCAGACTTGCTGGGTAATTATCAACAAATCCTTCGATTAATAGTCAGGAATCTATCCCAGAGCAAACCCATGACATCTTGCTCCCATCTACTCTGCCCCTACTGCTGTCTCTCAAGCCTTCCTTTCTTGCTTGCCTTTCAGCAAAACGGAAGCCACAGTCCTCATTATAATATCCCCAAGGATTCCCTTGAGACTAGTGAAAGTCTTCCTCCACATCTTCTTTAGCACATATATTGCGGTTCATGTCACCCCTTATCTTCCTCATGACTTTCCTTTTAACTTTCCCCAAGTTCCTGGTCTCTCTCCTGTGGTGGGGCTGTGGGCAGGACATGGTGAGACACTGACATGTTCTGATCCACAAGGGTTTCTGTCACCATAACAACTTACCACTTTCTGAGTCCAACCTTACAGTTTTCCACCTCAGCATTGCAAAAACAAACGTAAGGGAGTTCAAAGTCTGCCAACTTCTTCACAACTAGAGACAGGAGAAAGAAAGGCAGGCTGGTCAAAACAGCACACAGAGGTGACACACAGAAGCTTTCAAATGAGAAAGGAAGACATTACTTTTTGGGGGAAAAAAATCACACTAAGAATATTCTCTTGTATGAGGATATAATTTTTTACCTTTCTGAAGTTCATCAAAAAATAAATACTATTTGATCTGCATCAAATCCCAGGTCCTTGGGTAGGATATTTACACTGTGATACAGATGGAGAAATAGATTCAGAGATACCCAGGGCCATGGCTGGCCTTAGTTCCTCAGGCCCAGCCTCCCACATCCCTTGGCTTCCATCAAACCACCTCCCACTGCTTCTTGAGAAAACATATAAACTAAGATAACTAATACCATTTCATATCTTTAAAAACCTTGTAATATGTAGAATGAACCAGAATGGAAAGGAAAGCCACAGAAATCAGACTGTTATCTCTCATTAGAACTTTTTTTTAAGGAATCTAAAAGTTATTATATCATTCACATTTGATAACAAATATTCCCTAAGAAGGAAATGTCATACTGTATGAGATGTCCTGAAATCTGGGGTCTAGCACTCACAAGGAGGGTGAGGCATGGCCCATGGCCAGAAGCCAGGACAGGCCCAGGGGTGAATGGAAGAGGACATCAGATTAGAATTGGCAGGCACAGAAAAGAACAGGTACCAGAATGACCCAAGGTCTTGCTCTTAACAATTTCTATTTCTCTGGGGCTACTCATCCCAGCTCAGTCTGAATAAGAACACAATCTCTTATTCCCATTTTTGATCCAGAGCTGAGAACAGTGGTCCCAACACCACAACTCCTTTGCTATGACTCTTGCATCTCCTGGGCTGAACCTCTGTTCACACCTACCCTCTCCATCCCCAGGCTGCCCATATTCCTTCTTACCAGAAAGCTTGCCCTCCTTGCAAAACTGAATGAGAAAGAGGCCAAAGTAGCCCACAAGTTCCTGACGCAGTCCAAGCTTGTGCGACACCACCTTTAACCAGAGACAAGCAAAAGGAAGAATATCAGGGAGCCAACCACACATCCTAAATGTGATGTGAAGGACTGGAGTGACCTATACACGTAGGTTACAAGTGCTTTTGTGAGACAGTAGACATAGAAATCTTTCTGGAATCTAAAAATGATACACGCTCATTTTAGAAAAGTTAAAGTGAAGAAAATACAAGCCAGTCCCACCTCAGTGCCCAGTGACTGGCTTCCGTCAAGGCTGGTTGTCACATATTGGGTGTGGACACCACATGTCCTGCCTCATTTTGGTGCCTATTGTCCCCTGGAGGGCAGCAACCATTCTCTATAAACATCTGTCTTCCGAAATATCTGCCCCATGGGCTGCATGCCATTATACCTCCCTGTCACTGGACTACCAGACACCTGGAAAAGGGTCATTTGCCACCACTTAGCTGGCATACAAACGTGCATGTGTAACGTCCACTTCTGGCACACTGGGCCTGCTTCTCTGATGCTTCCTGTGACAGTGACGTGTCATTTACTATGTATGACACTTGCTCAGTGGAAAACTCCAATCTCTGATGCTGGATGCCTTTATTTCATAGTCCTCTTTGAGTGACATCAGTCAGCTTTCATTTTAACACCAGCGACTTCATCTTTACCATCAGGTCACCCAAACTGTGACCTCACCACGTTGTCTGTCGTCCACCTTTCCCCAGCTGGAACTTCCAAGATACCACAGGCTATTTCCCTCCCCCAACCAGTGGGGTCCCCTTTAAGACTGGGCTCCCTTTCCTTGAACTCCCAGCCTTTTTTCTAATTCCCATTTATGGGGAATCATACAATGGTATGATACATATATACGTTGTGTAAGGTTCAAATCGGGGTAAGTACCTCTTTTTTCTCAAACCTTTATATATTTTTTTCAAGGCAAAAGCATTTGAAATCCTTTTTTCCAGCTACTTCAATACACAGTACATTATTATTATTTATAGTCACCTTGCTATCCAATAGAGTACCTAATTTTTTCCTCTCATCCAACTGTACAGTGGTACCTAGGCACCTTGGTTTTCACTTCCTAGGTCCCCTCTGCAGCCCTGGAGGATCAGCCTCCACAGCCCCGCATACTCGGAGGCTCTAAGCTCCGCTCCAGTTCTCCAGGTGGCAGTAGGATACATGCCAGCTTCAAAGGGGTACTTTTACTGTCAGAGGTTTGTAAATTACCTCTTGAGACAGTCTGACTAGGTGCCTGGTATGGGTGTGTTCTTGGCATGGCTGTAATAAATAGCGTGGGAGCGCTCTCACACATGCTACTCAATGTGCAAGCGCTTTCCTCCACCCTTTGTGCATCTCAGGTTGAACTCAGGGTGCTTAACCACTGAGCAATATCTCCAGCATTTTTTTAAAAATACCTTGGTTACACAGTGTCTCTCTAAGTTGCTTATAGCCTCTCTAAGTTGCTGAGGCTGGCTTTGAACTAGTGATCCTCCTGCCTCTGCCTCCTGAGCAGCTGGGATTACAGGCTTGAGCCACCACTCACGACTGCCCTTCTTTTTCTCTCACTTTTCTCCCCATCCTCTTAGAAAACATCCCAGACTGATGACTGATGCAGGGCTCTCCCATATGCATGGGTGAATGTGTGTGTGGTAAGAAATAGTATCGCAGACTTCTTTTTCCTACAGTAAATCTGGCCCATGTCCACAGATTTCCCTCTTTTGTGATCCACTTAGCAAAAGCCACAAGAGGAGCACAGAAGCCTTTTAGAATTGCTAGCATTTGGATCTGGAATGCTACACCCACCCCAGGCCTGCCCCAAGGCCCCTATGCTAAAATCTTAGGTGGTAGACCTTTAAGAAATGGGACCAGGGGGCTGGGGATGTGGCTCAAGCGGTAGCGCGCTCGCCTGGCATGCGTGCGGCCCGGGTTCGATCCTCAGCACCACATACAAACAAAGATGTTGTGTCTGCCGAAAACTAAAAAATAAATATTAAAAATTCTCTTTCTCTCTCTCTCTCTCTCTTTAAAAAAAGAAAGAAAGAAATGGGACCAGAAGGCCATGGAGACATGCCTTTAAAGGGGATTGTGAGACCCTGATGTCTGTCTTTCCCCCCACCCGCCTCTCTCCTTCTGGCAATGAGGTGCAATGAGGTGAGGGGCGTCTTGCTCTGCCACACACTTCTGCCAGTATATTATGCCTCACCATAGGCCCCTTGCAATTTGGCTGACCAATCATGGACTGGAACCTCCAAAACTGTGAGGCTGGTTGTCCTATTTTGGATGTGGACAGGTATCCTGCCTCATGTTGGGGAGAAGGGACCTTCAAGAAATCCCCTGTCACCCTCCAACAGGACCTGTCACCACCATCCTAAGTATGGCCTGTTCCAGAATCAGCTGGTCACCACCCCTCTGCCTGCTCCCAACCCTGGTGCAGCCCACAAAAAATCATTTAGCATATTTTCAGGTCATATCCTAGCTAAGTTCCAAAGAGGTGACAGCAGCCTTAGGAATTCCCTCAGAGCTCTCAGGAAAATTGACGCCCACAGAGGGATAAAACCAAGGAGGCCCTGAAGGATTGGCTGATACTGAGTTTCCTTAGTCAGTCTTCCAGGAAATCCCAGCAACTTCTGTAGGTAAGTCAACAATAGCATAAAAGACCAGGCAGAAAACTTCCGGAAGTTAATCATGTGCCAGTTCCCTGCTTTTAAAGTAGAATTGTTACTAGATTCAGCTGGAGTTTAAACAAAACTTACCTCTAGGATTCTTTCAGCCATATCTGATGTTAGAATTTCCACTTTAATGCTCCTTCCATTGGGCAGAAATACATCCAGAGCAGCTTTCTCTGTAGCAACATCAAACGTGTTCTGTAAGTGACAGAAAAACAGAGGGGCAGCTTTACCTGCTGCTCTTTAGGTGGTCAGTTCCTACGAGAGAGTGTGCACTGCAGAGATTTTTGGTGGGGGTTCTTTTGGGGGACAAAGTGAGGGTGATAGGGGTGTGGAAAGGGGCCAAGACAGAGCAATAACACAAAGCTTGAAAAATTTTCAAACAACAGAGCATCCATTCTGGAAGATATTTTATTTTTATAAAATCATCCATACCCTCAGTGATCTCAGAGTTAACTCTCACCATTTTTAATATTAAGCATTGCTAAAAGTCCATATCTCACGTTTTTTCCTGACATTAGTGTGTGGCAATCTGAAGCTCTCCAAACTCCACCATTTAGGGGGTTCATAGAGGTTCCGTCACTCATGCCATGTGACTGTGTGCAAACCTGGGCAGGTAACTCCCCCGCTCCATACTGCATTCCTTCAGCCCTAAAATAAGGATAATCTAGTGCTCATCTTAGAGAGCTGAGGCAAGGATTCACGGAGGCAATGCAGAAATGATCTGGAACATGCCTTATCACAAACACTCATGGTGGCTTTGTTGTTTCAATGCAGTAGGAAGTTAGTTACATAGTTTTGATTTCATTTAGTATCCATAGGTAAGAAATAAAGGGAGTCGAGAAAGCTTTAGGGAGTGTTTTCAACACTCCTATGCAATGAGATACTAAGATTGCTAATTCATTATCTTAAACTGTTTCTGAAGTCCATCCACATGTCTTCAGCTCCAGCACTTTAGACCCATCTCTCACCTCCCCTGGCCTCGATTCCTGCACAAGCCTCCTTAGCAGGTCTGCTTTTTCCATTCTTCTTCCCACAAAGCAGTCCCCACCAGCAGCCCGAGAAATCTTTAAAAAGGCAAACCCCAAAATGTCTCTCTCTTGCTTAAAATCTCCCAACGTCGTCACGTTGCTCATGGGACACCCAACTCTTCACCACTGGTCAGGAGGAGACAGGTTGTATTGGCAACTGCTCCTCACCTGCTTTACTCCTTCTCTCCAGAACATCTCCCAGAGGAGTTCTCTGTCCATTAGAAGGAAGGTTGGAGCTCGCTCTTTCACCTAGGCTCTAACCTTACCATGCTGCAGACCAGGGTCTCAGAGAATTCAGTCTACACAGAGGAAAGCAGCCCTTGGAGTAGGAAGAAAGAAGAGGGAGCCAACCAAATTTCCATGATTTGTATCCCTTACAGTCAAAAAAGACCTGATGAAAATGGAAGCCATTGTCAGCTAAATGTCACTTCCTTTAGAACATCACCCCAGCCATGGTCTCACCATGTCTTCCAGACACACTCATCCTATGGTAATGCCTCCTGGCTGTCTTTTCACCAGGTCACACTTGACAGGTGACAGCATTTGCACTGCACACCGGGGTAAGTAGGCGTGCACTGCTGGGGGTAGCAGAGTCCGTAAATACCACACCAGAGTTGATGGGACGAAAATCTTGACACATTGCTAACCATCTCCGGCAACACAGCCGTGCACCATAGCACTCCGTGTGTACCACGTGTATGGTGCGCCCCAGTGCAGGGCCTGGTACTATGGCATAGTGCCCACTGCAGTTAATGACGTGCCAAGTGACATTTCTGTCTCCCCAAGAAAACAAACTCTGTGAGCCAGACTGGGCATCATTTACTGATGTCTCACCTGCCTCTAGTAGAGTGTCAGCTCACAGCAATCATTAACACATATTTGTTAAATGTAGAGCAACAGATGATGGGATAAACCAGGTAGGTACGATACAATGAACTTAACTTCCCTTTCAAAACCGTAATGCAAACCTCCTTTTTAGATATTTTCGAAAGTAGAACCACGTCTGCCCTGCTCTCCTTTTAGAGGCAAAGAGAAAACAATTAGAAGGAAAACTATCTTGGATTAAAAAGTTAAAATAGTTCCAGGCCTGCACCACTGGATATTGGAGGGGCTGCCAAGCACTGATATCGGAGATGGGGGTGGGGCGGGGAAAAGAGGACTCAAGAAGTAATACAGAAGCTATCTGAAAGCAGTTCATCAGGGAGGGCTCAGCAGGGCTGGGAGCATAACTCTGGGCTCCATTTGACACTGCCTAGATGCAGGGGAGAGTGAAGAAATGTGCAGAAACTCCATCTTTGCAATCTCTCAGCATGGTTGAGAAGAGAAAAAGGCATAAGCTACAGAAGTGACTACCCCTTAAGCATTAAAGTTGTTCCAGATGGTATTTAAGGGCTCAAAGGAGTATTAGTTAATTTAATCCTCAAAGCAACAATAAGAGAAGAACTCCTCTCCCCTTTACAGATGGAGATACTAAAATGCAAAGAGGCTAAAATTTTCTCAGACATATGACTTGAGAGTCAAGTGGCCAAAATTTGAACCTGGATCATCTCATTCCTGACCCTGAACTCTTTAACCACTACACTAGTTCTGGGGCTGCTGATCTGAGCTAACAGAAGGATTTAAAATGCTAAGCCATGATCCAGGGAGCTGTGGTTTATGCTTCATTGCTAGACGAAACACTTGGGTCTTATGGCAGAGAATTAGTGAGAAAATGTTCAGAAACAAGAGGCAAGATCCAGAAATACAACAGACAGTCTCAAGAGACCCAAATCAAGTCCCTCCCTACAGCTTAGCATGCATGGGCAAACAGCTAGGGCACAAAGCACAGCCCTTCCAAAGTTGAACAATAACCTGAAAAGAATTGCTAAGGAATCCATACAAAAATCCTGGAAAATTCGAAGAAGAAACACAATCCACTATCGGCATAAAATATATACCTGGGGGGTTGGAGTTGTAGCTTAGTGGTAGAGCACTTGCCTGGCATGTGTGAGGCCCTGGGTTCGATCCTCAGCACTGCATATAAATAAATAAATAAAAGATCCATGTACAACTAAAAAATATTTTTAAAAAATATGTACCTGAAAAAATTATACTACTAAGCAGGTGAACATGCATTAATAAAAATATGGCATCTCTGAATGAAGATCTTAAAGAACAGAGGAAGGCCTCAACTAAGAGGTGAGGAAGAAAAGAATTAAAAATTGAGTTGGCAAATTCATGGGGAAAGTGGAAGAGAAAAAGAAGGTCATTACAAAATTGAAAAACACTTCAGAAGAAGCAAAAAGAGATATTGCAAACTGCACCTGGGCTACTAGGCTTTTATATAAAATTATAAAGGCAACATACTGGTGCTGGGGTTGTGGCTCACTAGTAGAGTGCTCGCTTAGCATGCGTGAGGCACTGGATTCGATCCTCAGCACCACATAAAAATGAAATAAAGATATTGTGTGTCCACCTTCAACTAAAAAATAAAGATTTTTTTAAAAAATAAAATAAAGGCAACATACTAAGAGAACTAAAATCTGGCACAAACCTTCCAAGTTATCAGAAAAAGTATATGCAAAACAAAGCTCCATAACATTGATACTCCATGAATGATTTTTTAATTTTTTTAAATATTTATTTTTTAGTTGTAGTTGGACACAATACCTTTATTTCACTTATTTATTTTTATGTGGTGCTGAGGATCGAACCCTGGGCGAGGCGAGCACTCTACCACTGAGCCACAACCCCAGCCCCTCCGTGAATAATTTTTTAAAAGCATTAAAAGCAAAATCCATAATGTACCCCCAAAAGAACAAGTCAAACTTATCTTTAAATGTACTGAGATAGAATGACCCTCAAGATTTCAAGTTTTAAAAAGCAAGGCCCAATGAGTTTTCCAGACAGGGTGGGTATACTCAGTGGTAGGGCACTTGCCTAGCATACATGAGGCCAGGGTTCAATCCCCAGCTCCACACACATTCCCAAAAGTATGCATGGCATGTGTTTATATTTTTATATGCAGAAAAATGTGTAGAAAGAACACATTGAACTGTGAATAACAATTATCCTGGAGAGTGGGGCTAGAGGAAGAAAAGGTTATTTTTCACTGTATATACTTTTGTTGAAATTTTATTGTTATCATCACCTCCTTGACACAAACTTTTCAAAGAAAAAAGTATGTATATATTTAAACCATCAAGTATACGTGAAAATAAGAACCACTACACCATGGAAGGTTCTAGGGCCATATTTCAGATTAAGAGGGCCAGTCAATGGAGCAACCCCCTTGGACCCCTGTCTAAATAAAATCTCCTCTGGTCTTAGCAAATCTGATCAAGGTACCGTCTTTCCCTTTGCTAGGGGTCCAATTCAATGATAGATCATTATATGACTTTAATCACTTCAGAGTTCTACCATTCAGTCAAGCTCATGCTTTCCGGCACAAAAACATTTCCATATGTACAATTAGAATGAATACGTTTTAAATGAAGGGACTTCACAAAATTCCGGCCTGTGGGGACAAGCTGCCAGTGGTTCTTCAAACCATCCACCAAAAGGGAATTGCTGTATGTTACTCTGTTCAGCCTGGATTTTCTCCATTTACAATAAAGTTAAGAGCAGAGAATATAGAGTAATAGCTGTTAAAACCTCCTGTCCTGATATCTTCACCATAACCCTCTTGGAAATCTCAGTGACTAAAACTCAGTATGGGGTCCATTAGTGATAAAGCTGTACACTAAGACTGTCTTCTTCAGGCCAATTTTTTTTTAGGGAGGGCGGTAGGGAGGCTACTGGGGATTGAACCCAGGGGTGCTTAACCACTGAGCCACATACCTAGCACTTTTTAATATTTTATTTAGAGACGGGGTCTTGCTGAGTTGCATCAGGCCTTGCTAAATTGCTGAGGTTGGCTTTGAACTCACAATCTTCCTGCCTTAGCTTCCGGAGCTGCTGTGATGTGGCACCATGCCTGGCCTCAGGCCAGTTTTGACATGGATGATATTTAGGCTACAGAAAAAAGGTATCTGCTTATAAAAAAAAAAGTTTCATTTTCCATATAGAATCTAAACCTTTGTGTTAGTTGGCTTTTCATCACTGTAATCAAAATATCTGACAAAAAAAAAACTTAAAGGAGGAAAGATTGATTTTTTGCTCAGGTTTCAGAGATTCAGTCCATGGTTGGTCAACTGGCTGGCTCCAAAGCAGAAACATCATGGCTGAAAGGAGAGGGGTGGGGTGGGGGGAGGGAGGGAGGGAGAGAGAGAGAGAGAGAGAGAGAGAGAGAGAGAGAGAGAGAGAGAGAGATGGAGAAGCCAAAGACAACATATAGTCCCCAAGGGCACGCCCCCATTGACTTTTTTCCTCCAGCCACGTCCTATCTGCCTATGGTAACCAGTCAGTAGTCCATTCAAATTATTAATCCATCAGATGGATTAATCCATTGATGAGGCTACATCCCTCGCAATCCAATCATTTCAGCTCTGAACATTGCTGCACTAAAACATGAGCTTTTAGGGGGGCATTCCTGACCCAAACTATAATAACCTCCAAAATAGCAACTATCCTCCAATCTACTCAAAATGAATGTATTTTACCCAAGTCCAGGCTATGTGGAGTTGACGGTCAAAGCACACACATGCTCTTTTGCAAAAATACATGCTTAATAGACACATGTTCTACAGATATATAATGACCTCAATAAGGAAGAGCAGGCTTACCAGCTGTATCCGTTTTAAAAATTCAATGAAGACATCACTTCTCAACATGTTTGGGTCTGCAGTTACTGAAAAACACGAACACAGTGAGCTGGGTTAGCACAGGCTGGGCTAAGCCTTGACTATACCTAATTGATCTCTCCTCCAGGGGACCCTCTGGACCTCGCCAGCACACAGTAACCTCCCTGAAGGTGATGGAGGTTGTGACCTCTCAAATGCAGAAAAATCCTCAAAGCTTGCCTCCTCCAGGCAGCCTTGACAACAACATGAACCCACCATGCCAAGCCAGGCTGACAATGTTCCCAGGAACCTCACTTCATTCATGCATGCCTGTGCTGCTCAAAATCCACCTTGTTGACCTACTGGGATGATGATAAAGTCAACATGAAGAAGCAGGGCTGGGGCTGCAGCTCAGTGGTAGAGCACTTGTTTCCATGTATGAGGCCTTGGGTTCAATTCCCAGCAACACAAGAAAGAAATTTTTGTTTAAATCAAGAAACAAAAGATTCTAAAAGTTGGATCTAGGTACCCCTTTTAGCAAGAAGCATGGTAATTTGAAAATTTTAAATCAACCAGTAAGTATCAAGAGAAAGTATCTCTTTGAATGATGGGAGCTCTCAAGAGGTTACCCAAGAAGCAACAAGACAGATTTGAAGTGCTTCTTTCTATTCTTACAAAAACCACTGCCCCCAACCACCTCCTTCCATCCCTTTGTTTTAAAGCTCTGTACAGCAATTGCCAGGTGTTGTGACAAGAGGGACAGAGTAGACGCCCTTTTGAGAGCTGCAGAGGCCTGGCACTGCCACCCTGCTTTCTCCTGGCTTGTCTCCCTCCCCAGATCCTCTCCTGGGCCCTGCTCTTGAGCTAAACTTATGTACTTACTAAACTGCTCTTCAATTTTTTTTTCTTCTGTTCATTTTGTTGCTGCTTTTCTGATCTCATCAAGGAGAGTCTACCAACATTCAAAACTAGCACTGACTTCATTTTGGATGCACCTTCCCAAATGATGTCATGTTTAAGAGAGAGACTTGGTCACATGAGAAATTTTTTATAAGACTCATTCCCTCTGTTTTGAGAGGTAGTTTGGGGACTGGGCAGGGGACGCTTGTCTCATTTTCTGGAATAAAAAGAGTGCAAACTAACTTTATGTTCCTTAGTATGGATCTTAAGAATGGAGAAAGCTATTGAAAAAAGTATTCATCCAATTAGTATTTACCGTATGAGTGTTAAGTTCCAGATGCTGGGCTAAGTACTACACATTTTAGCTCATTTAAACTACATGAAGGCGGGCTGGGGATGTGGCTCAAGCGGTAGCGTGCTCGCCTGGCATGCGTGAGGCCCGGGTTCGATCCTCAGCACCACATACAAACAAGGATGTTGTGTCCGCCTAAAACTAAAAAATAAATATTAAAAAAAAAATTCTCTAAACTACATGAAGGGGCTGGGGTTGTAGCTCAGTGGCAGAGCGCTTGCCTCACACATGTGAGGCACTGGGTTCGATCCTCAGCACCACATAAAAATGAATAAACCAAATAAAGATATTGTATCCATTTGTAACTAAAAAAATAAAATATATATAAATAAATAAACTACATGAGGAACCATAAGGCAACCATTATTACCATTTCATAGCTAAAGACACTGAGATTCAGAGGAGATAAGTATCTTGCTCAAGGTCATACAGTCAGTGAGAAGCAAAACCGGGATTTGACTCTGAAGTTGATTCCAGAGTCCAAGCTCTCAGTTATGACACTTGTCTGTGCTGTTCCCTTACTTGACCTTATCAGAGGATGCACAAGACATCCTGATGATGTCGGGGGAGACCAGGCCTGGAACAGTGGCCCCTGAAGCACTGTGTTAACTTGTGAAAAGGCCAGTATTATTAAAGGTGTGTTTTGCTAAGACTTGAGAAAACAAACCAAGAGAAAATGAAGACTCAAAAGAAATACAATTTGAGCTTGAAAAGTCTTATCCAACAGGTCTAAAAGGAAGTATAGGTTTCATTACACACACACATACACACACAAAAAAAAAATCCTGGGATATAGATGGTTTCTAGAATTTTGACTATGTTTAAGAAAAAATATATAGTCATGAGCTGGGCATGGTGTGCACATGTGTAATGCCAGTTGCTCAGAAGCCTGAGGCAGGAGGATCACAAATTCCACGTCAGCCTCAGCAGCTTAGCAAGGCCCTAAGCAATTTAGTGAGACTTTGTCTCAAATAAAAAGACTGCAGGTGTGACTCAGTGGTAAGGGACTCCCGGTTCACCCCAGTACCCACCCCCTAATCATGTAATCATGAAAATAATGAGGTAAATTTATAATTGTTCATGTCGACTGATCTCTAAGATATATATTTTATATCAGAAGAAAAAACTTTTTTTCTTTAACTATGAAGGACATCAGTGTGGTAGTTGTTGAAGTTTAAATAAGGTTTCTAGATAACATGACTGTATTTGTGTTGATTTTCTGATTTGGATAACTATATTACAGTTATATAAGACAGTGTCCTTGATCTTAGGAAAGACACACAGAAGTATAAAGGATAAAATGACTTAGGTGTGTAACACTCAAACCTTTAAAAAAAACATACATACATCTATAACACACACATACACATACACAGATGGGAAAGAGAATAATAAAGCAAATGTAAAATGTTAATTGGGAAATCTAGGTGAATATACGGAAATTTTTTGTATTATTTTTTGCACTTTTTCTGTAAGTTAGAGTTTCAGAGCAAAATGTTATAAAGAATCAGGGACAGAAAAGTGTGTATAGTAAACTTCAACTTATGTTGAACAAGAAGAGATGGACATACATTCTAGTGTACACACGGATTGCTTCCAAGGAATACAGGAATCACTGGTAATATTGTTTGCCTCTGGAGGCCTGGGGTGGGAGGGAGATTTACCTTTCATTGCATATTCCTTTGCATAGTCTCTATTTTTTAAAATATTATGTGTATAGACTGATTCCTAATTTTAAAATCTTTAAATATTTTAATGCTAATTTTTCTCTATACACTGAACTCCCTCTTTTGTATAAGAGCTTCATCTTGTCAATCACAGTCTTGCAGGGACAATATTTGCAGGACCCAGGTACCAGGCAACACCGTGGTACTGTCGACCTCACAGCGGCCAGCTCAGGTCTCTGAGCATCCTTGTACCTTCACAACGCCTCTTCCAAAGTGAAAGTGCAATCTCTGGCACTGTTGTTAATAAACACCTCTGATACCTCCCTATATCTTTCCTGTGCACAGTTCAGCTCACCCCTTGTTGCATCCTAATCCAGGTCACATTTGTTTGATTTCTACAAAGTCAACATATGGCACCCAAGGGTGAATTTGAACATAAAGTATTTTTAAAACTCAATACAAAGAACACATATCATATGATTCCATATATATATAAAAAATATATATATAATGACCAGAATAAGCAAATCTCTAGAAATCCAAATTAGAATATTGATTGCCAGGGCTGGTGGAAGAAGGCTAAAATAGGGGTGACTGCTAATAGGCACAAGGTTTCTTTTGGGGGTATACAGCAACATTTTGAAAGTAATTCTAGTGATGGTTTCCCAATTATATTAATATGTTAAACCCCACAGAATTACAAACTTTAAATGGATGAATTTTGTATTATGCAACTTATTTCTCAAATCGTAATAGAATCCCAAATATATACCATTTTGCAAATATCGTTCCAGCTGGTCCCTCCTCTCCTCAGCCATAGATGGGGTCATTGCCAGATAGTACTTTGGTGGAAAAGGTGGTAGGGAATTTCCAAAGACCCGCCTCAGCTGAAAGATTCAGAAAACACAGTTAAGACAAGTGAGAATCCAATTCAAGGCTGATGAGATACTGAAGCTTCAGTGGGGTGTGGTGGTGCACAACTGTAACTCCAGCTACTTGGAGTGGGGAGAGTTGAGGCAGGAAGATCTCAAGTTTGAGGCCAGTCTCAGCAACTTAGTGAGATTCTGTCTCAAAAAGAATATATAGGGTGAAACTACAGCTCAAATATAAGTACCCCTAGGTTGAATTCCCAGTGCCAGGGAATGTAGGGGTGGGAGGATACTAAAGCCTCTCCTTAGAGCAAAGCCCAGTACTTTATTTAAAATTCACACTTCTTGGTGGCCAAAAGGAGGAAAATAGATTAATTCTATTTTCTTAAAGATGAATACTGTGGGCTGGGGTTGTGGCTCAGCAGTAGAGCGTTCACCTAGTGCGTGTGAAGCCCTGGGTTCAATCCTCAACACCACATAAAAATAAATAAATAAAACAAAGGTATTGTGTCCAACTACAACTAAAAAATAAATATTTTTTTAAAAGGTGAATATATACATACGTCACACAATGTCAACTCCAGTCTAATTTTGGTAGAGTTGGGGTGTATTTTGATTTTCTATTTGTTTATAAGACTGCCAACAACTCAAAATTTTCTTAATTCATTTTATAATAATTATGTGTTTTTGTGATTACAGTTACTCCTAACCTCATCTGTATCATATCTGAACTTGACAGATATGTTTAGAGTTGTACTAATGCAAAAAGCTACTAATAATGGTAGCTATGAACACTTGAAATGTGTCTAGTCTAAACTCAAGTACTATAAGGGGAAAATACACTTCAGATTTCAAAAACTTTAGTTTGAAGAAAAAAGAATGTTAAGTATTTCATTGATAACTTTTTTTTTTTTTTTTTTTTGTATTGGGTATTGAACCCAGGGGCGCTGAACCACTGAGCCACATCTCCAGCTGTTTTTTTATATTTTACTTAGAGACAGAGTCTCACTGAGTTGCTTAGGACTTTGCTAAGTTCCTGAAGCTGACCTCAAACTCACAATCCTCCTGCCTCAGCCTCCTGAGCCACTGGATTATAGGCATGCACCACCATACTCAGTGGCTCACTGATAACTTTTCATATTGACTACATATTTGAACTGATAATACTATGGTTATATTAAATTAAATCCATAATCTAAATTAATTCCACGTGTTTCTTTTACTCTTTTTAATGTAGTTACCAGAAAGTTTTAAATTACATACATGGTACATATATTTCTATAGGATAGTGCTGGTTACAGAATTCCTATAAAGCTGACATATAATCCTAATAGAAACCCAGCAGGCCCTTCCCTCCCACTCACCTATAAATGACCCAAGACCACAGTGGTAATTTTTTTTATAGAAGATTCATAAAAATAATTTTAAAATTAAGAAACAATAGTTCCAGTGCTAAACTTGCAATGACAGCTCAACAGCAAGGCAATATCAAAAAAAGAGACTGGACCAGAACTTCATCAGGTTTTATGGCATTTCTTGATCAGGAGGGCTGAAAACAATTACCATTACGTACTATTACAGTAGTCTGTGGTTTAAAGAAAGCATAAGGCAGATCCAAGGGAAATAGAACTGCAAACAGGCAAAATTCAAATTTTAATTTAATTGTGATTGCTTTTGCCACAATTAGTAGTGTGTATCTGGCAAACATTTTCCTTGCATAGACTCTAACTTCAAAATACATCAAGAATCTGACCACTTCCTTCTTTTCGCCGTCCCTAATACCATTATGCTGGTCCAAGCCTTGTCATCTGTTTTCTAGATTACTGCAGTAGCCTTCCAAAGGGTCTCTATGCTTCTTCACTTGACCCCCTTCAGTCTATTCTAACACAGCATCTAAGGTGATACTTCAAAATTGTAAGTCAAATCATTGCACTGCCCTGCTCAAATCCTCTGTGGCTTCCCATCTCACTCAAGGAAAAGTCAAAATCTTTATAACCTAGAACTATGTCATCCAATATGGTGGCCATTCACCATCTGTGAGTAAATGTAAACTTAATTGAAATAAAACAAAGAATACAAATTCAGTTTCACAGTCATTCTAGCCACATTTCAAGTGTTGCCTAGCTGCCTGAAACATGGCAAGTTGTTATTGAATTGGACAAAGCAGATAGAGAGCATTTTCAACAGCACAGAAAGTTCTATTGGACAGTGTTGATCTAACATCTTGAAAGATAGACTGTCAGTTTGAGGGCAAAATATAGCTCCCTGATGCGTTTAGTTTGGTTGATCAATTTTTAGAGAATTTTAACTTAATGCCAATATTTATTTATAAGATTTTAAAATTAAAAAACTTATATCCTGGAGAGAATGCAAAATATTTCAGCCACTTTGGAAAACAGTTTGACAATGCTTTACAAAGCTAAACATAGTCTTCCATGTAATCCAATGATTACACTCCTAAGTATTTATCCAACTGATTTGAAAACTATGTCCACATAAAAACTTGCATGTGAACATTTATAGCAGCTTTATTAATAGCTCTCCAAACTAAAAGCAATAAAGATGTCCTCAAATGCATAGATTAAAAAATTGAGAAATATCTATATAATAGAATATTATTCTTCAATAAAAGGAAATGAATTATGGAACCACAAAAAGACATGGATGAGTCTTAAATGCATATTGCCAAGTGGAAATTAGGTAGTCTGAAAAAGCTACATACTATATGATTTCAATTATATGGCATTCTGGAAAAGGAAAAGGCAAGACTACAGAGACCATTAAAAAAACAACAGTAACCAGGGGCTTGGGGTGAAGGGGTACTGAATAGATGAAGCACATGGGATTTTTTTCTTTTTTAAAGTCATTTATTAGCATATATAATGTGATCAGATTGAGGGGCTCAGATGATACTGAGAGGACTGTGTGTGCAGCACATGATTTTTTTTTAGGGAAGTAAAGTTATTCTGTATGATATAACTGTGGACATGGCAGTATACATTTGTTAAAACCCACTGAACCTTACAACGCAAGCTTAACAAAGCAAATATTTTTAATAATCATTTAGGAAGTAGAAGAATCCCAGGATGGTATACAGGGTGTGCCAAAACAAGCTAATTATATTATCAATGTATAAAACCACAGGAATGAGGGCTGTAAAGGACTGACCTAAAGAACTTTGGAATTGAGTGAAGTCTGTAGAACCCAATGGCATGGCAACTAGCTGGACATAAGCATTTGAGTTGATAAAAGTTGTTTCCCACAGGAGTATGAGTTAACAATTCTAATACTGCTCTGTGTGTATACACAGCCAACAAGTTAGTAAATAACAGCAGATAGTGGGAGTCAATTTTCTCACTGTTATTATGGGAATTTGCAGATAAGACCAGGAGGCAAGAATGACCAAGAATAAGATATCAGAGTTAGACGAACTGGCATGCACTCACTTTTAGCTTAGCATAGATACAGATGGATACATATGGAAATACTTACAGGTAAGTCCATATACATTGGTTATTGTACACACATTCACTTCCTTGCTGCAGGAGAGAGGACCTAGAAGCAGCAACCCTTCAGTAACACCGAACACAGCTAGCACCTAGACCTTGGTTTCTAATGCCGTTCTTCAACAAAAGCAACCAAGGATCCATGGAAAATGGCTGACTCCAGGACTGAGATAGGCCCAAACAAGATGATCCCGAGTATCTTGTAACCCCAGGAAGTAAGGAAGTACTCAAAACAAAAGAAAATCAACACTGGGAGCATATCAAAGACACTCAGGAGCAAATTCAAAGAGCTCCCATGGGCCAAAGTTGGGATAATTTGATCCAAAAAATAAAGTAGTATTGATATTGAGCCCAAAGTATAAAGTGAATATCCATCATTCTATACAGATAAAAATTGTTGAATGAACAAATAGGAGAAAACAGACAAATCTGTGCAGAAGAATTTCTGAGACTCATTGCTCAAGGAGGGGAGCATAAAGCCTGCTCTCAGTGTGGGCTGTGCATAGTGACTTCCTTCCAAAGAGTACACCAGGAAAGGGAGCTTTACAGTGGAGAAACCAGGTAAGCACCACCTCAACGAAATGATGGGTAATGACAACAGTGATAAGATATGTGGACAATAGGTACCCAGGACAGGATGTGCTTAGAAAGGTGCTTTACCCAGCTCAATTCACAATAGCTAAACTAGGTGCCCTTCAACAGATGAATGGATAAAGAAAATGTGGTACATATACACAATGGAATACTACTCAGCCATAAAAAGAAGGAAATATGGCATTTGCTAGTAAATGGATGAAACTAGAGACTATCATGCTTAGTGAAATAAACCAATCCTTCAAAACCAAAAACCCAATGTTCTCTCTAATATGCTAATGCTGACTCACAATGGGGTGGGGGAGTTTACTGGATTGGACAAAGGAGAATGAAGAGAAGGGAGGGGGAATGGGAATGAGAAAGACTGTAGAATAAATCAGACACTACTTTCCTATGTTCTTATATGAATATGCAACCAGTATAACTGCACACCATGTACAACCTCAAAAATGAGAAGTTATACTCCATTATGTACCATACGTCAAAATACATTCCATTGTCATGTATTAGAAAAGAAAAGAAAGGTGCTTTACCTCTGAGATCTTCATCCCTTCCCAAACCTATAATCTTATTCTCATTGTGTGAAAAACATAAGATTCCAATAGAGGGGCATCCCATAAAATATGTGACCAGTACTTTTCAAAACTGTCATATTGTTAAAAAGAAGGAAAGTCTGAGAAACTGTCACAGTCCAAGGAGCTTAAGGAGACAAAATGACTAAATATAGAGTCCTGGTCCTGGATTAGAAATAGGACAGTAGGCAAAAACGAAGAAAGTCTGAATAACATGGAGTACATGGGAAGTCTCTGTACTATCTTTTCTGTAAACTAAGACTGTTCCCCAAAAATGCGGTTTGCATTTTAAAAATACTTGATGTACTTGCTTCTCTTGAAAAACCAGAAGGTCTAGAATCCATGG